ACACACACACACACACACAGTATAATAAATATTTATTAAAAATATTGTTAACAAATAAAATGCTGTTTCTCCATCTATCTATTTTTGTTTTTTAATATCTTTTCTTAGTTAATAAATAAAATGCTGTTTCTCCATCACCTATTTTTATTCTTTAATATCTTTTCTCTACATCAAAATAACTTTAATAATTAATATCGATAGAAGCTGTAAAACTACCCAGAAGATCAAATTACTTTGTGCCCACATGACAAGATGGTTCCTCGTTGGATCAACTCAATTTTTTTTCTCGCTCGAAGGGATATGTCCTTCCTCTTCCTGTTTCGACCATGGAAATACGAGAACTTAGTTACGCCAAAATGATGGGAAGAACAGAGATCTTATGTGACAGCGATTTAATTATTCTCGACATCTGGTGTGTCCGAACGTGTCGGAACGTTGAGTTTTAAATTGAATCTCTCGATTTTTTAAATTACATTAAAAATAAATTTTCTTTTTATTAAAATAATTAAAACATAATAGCAAAAATACAAGAATACATATTGTAAATTATTGTTTATCACGTTCTAATATTTGTTTCGTTTACAAACAAAATTCTCGTTAAATCTTTCCGTTCATTTTATAACAAAAAGTTATAATTTTTTAAGAATAATGATGCTTGACACACACGAGATTTATAATCCATTAAGTTGCCATGAGAAACGTGTCTTTTATTTACGATTTAATTACCTTCAACATCTGGCTATCCTGCCTACGTTTCCTAACAGGATTTCCTTTTTCATCTACAATCTTCAACTAATCATCTCTCAAACTGACTAGTTAAAATTTCATTAAAATAAACGAAAATTTTGTTATGGTTTTTGTAAAATAAATAGAAAATTAAATAAGAAAATTGTATTGTACAATAAGAATATTGTTAAATTGAAACAATAATAAAATGATAGACTTCTTATCTAAAAAATCAGAAATAAAGGCTTTAAAAGAAGTTTCAAGCTAGATTTTTGTGCTTGAATAATTTCGTGTGAATTTATATATTATATATCTCATTCTGCAAGACTTCTTATGCTTTCGTGAAAGAATATTCCGCTAATTATGAAAAATTCCAACAAACAGTTAATTATACTTATAATGTAATTTATAATGTGATGAACAAAAGATGGCAGATTTTTTCACGAATGCATAATCGAACCAGATAAAAATCTTCTTTCACTAATTACATAGAAAAATGGGTGAAATGAGGATAATTTTTACATATGTAGTTATAATGTGATGAATTAAAGATGTCAGATACAAGATTCAACAATAGATAGTTTCTCAACTACATCAAAATGTCCATCAAATTCTGTAAGTACAAGTTTACATCTTTGATGCACAGTAAAATTATCCATTATTATTGTCCCATGGCTCTGTAATATCTTTTGTTCACGTTAAAAGCTACATTATATGTAAAAATTAATTTATTCCAATAGAATCCGATTTTCTATATAATTAATGCGGACTTTTGGTTTACGTCGAGAAAAAATATATTTCGTTTTCGGAAATTATTATATCAAAAAACATATCGGAAGCGTGCAGAATCAATGTAGGACATTGGGATCTTTAAATATTCACGATCCAAGTTCTTCTCTCACTGAACGAAACAGCTGTTCCACCCTCTCCAACGGTGGCAATTGATGGTCGGCCGTCTTTTGCTGGCATTCAGGCTATCTGAACGAACTATCGCGTGGAGGTGGAGGTTTCGAAAGGTCGACGGTAAATGTACAATATGTAGGTACGAGCAGCTGGATCGGTGGAGATTCGTAAAGCTTACCGTCACGCCTTCCTCCCGCATTGTTCGAAATCTCGGCTGTACGTTTTTGCTTTCTTTCTACATGCTCCATCACAAACTTTTTTGAAACTTCCTGCGATATCTTTTCGAATTAAATGAGACTCGTAAAATTACGCAATTATAATCATATTTATTAAGAAATGGGACACGAAAAGCACATGCATCGGAACTTCACATTTTATCGTACCGTAATATTCGAATCCATTACTAAAATCCTAAATATCTTTCCTGTGTCACTGAGTGATATAAATATAGGTACATTTTTTTTAGGAATTGGTCTTCTAATTATTTTGGAAAGAACGATTTTACTGAAGCATACAAGAATTAGGTCAAATAGATTTGAAAACAATTGGACTATAATATATTACAATATATTATATGAGAAACTCAAGCATAATAAAAATTTAGACATTGATCTTAGACTTGATCTCAGAAATCTAAAAAGAATATTTTAGAGTACACATATATGAAGAATTCCAGGAAAGATGTGAAATTTCTTGTCATATCTGAAAAGTGTTATATAAGAAATTTGAGAGATTTTTCTAAAAAATTATAAAATTATTCAAAAATTCTGAAAATTTCTGAAATTTAACATTCTAAAAATTATATTGTATGAAAAATTCTCAAAAAAATTTTCCAACTTTAAGGATAACTTTAGCTACTCTTTTATCATAAAAAACGAAAGGACGTTTGCGTCATTCATCAAAAGAAAACATCAGTTATTATTAACCCGACGTTCATAAAAATCCTGCGAATTACAGCTCGTAGCGCGCAGATCTAAATTGACTGAAATTACAGTGTCGGCCTTGAGCGTCGTTCTCTCAAAGAACGGTGTCACTGCATTCTCGCGCGCTCTGGAAAGTAGCTAACTGCCAACCGGCAATTTTTCCGCTTCCTTTTCAGTATGATACAAGCACTCGATCCTACATGGTTCGTATCGGCAAGAGGAGAAAATAATAAACGAGCGCGAGCTGCACGCACAAAGTGCACAGCAACATCCTGCGCTAAATGTTTCCTCCGCTCCGGTGAACGCACGATTTTTACGTCGCGTGGGTAAACTGGCTCAATTATTCGCAGTCGTTTTAACCTTATGTGTACGAAGACTATCAGCCGGTTGGATGCAACAAAGGATAGAAAAAAATATGTCTTTATCATATCTAAACGATAAACGGCGAGTTAATTAAAGCGTAAACTCACGACATAAAGCAACTTAATTTTATTAATTTTATCTTTGTAAAAATAATGTTACGTTAGCAATTGTAGATCATTTATCAATATCATCATAATCTAAATAAAATTAATAAGAATTAAAAGATAAACAAACGGCAACTATATTTTATGAGACGAATCATTCTGAGGAACATGAATCATCCGCTAATTTGATACTTTGCTGTCTAGTTTAAGATGTTATTAACTCTACTATCAAAATCTATTATCAACAGTTTTTTTAACGTAATTACTCGTGTGAAGTATTTTTGACATCCTAACATTATATCTTATTTTTCATTGTTTCCTTAATTTAATAATTTACAATTAAATAAAGATTGACAATATTGAATGAACTAGAAGTGTGTTTAAACACAAGTAAGAGAGGAAAAGAAAAAAGCCATTTTAAAGCGATTAAAACGGATCTTGAACTTAATACTTTTACATATACTTTTATATATATATATATA